TATACAGGGGGGCCAAAAAAAAGACATTTTGCCTATGTCGGACTTCGGCTCTTTTTTCTTCGCAGAGATTGCTGTCGTTGACGGGAGTTCCTCAGCAGAGTATTCCCTAAGTGTTCCTCTATTAGTGTACGCAGGCTCTCCTTCACTGCCCTCACCGTCTTCAGAATATGACGTCATCTGTCACCGTCGTCAGGCTCAAGGAGGTCTACCGTAAGAGCTTCAGCCTGAAGCTCTTACGCAATTTCGTGAATCGATTTAATGTTGGATAGTTTTCTAGAGGCATTAGCTACCACTGTGCAAATCCCCTCGGAACTAGCTTTCCAGTAAGGGTCGTTATGGTACACGATCCTTCGAAGACCCCATTGAGATCGACCAGTGCACCATGTTTCCAGGGCTAATTCTTCTGATGCCGTCCACGTACGTGGCCACTATGAAGATTTTCTTATAGAATGGAATGCACTCTTTAATAATAAGTTGGAACCGTTCGGTCTGAGTTGAGTAAAATGTGCTTAAATCCATCTGGAAGTGGAGGCAAAATGTCTTTTTTTTGGCCCCCCCCCTGTATAAAGAATGCAACGCCATGCAGCCTTTGTTGATGATTACAATAATTTTGAGTCAAAGTAGAAATATGCAGCAGACCAGTATAAACGCGACCGCTCAATGGTAGCAGAGGGGACGGTTTGAATTGCAACAGGCATGATTATTGGTAAAGAGTGCTGCGTCCGTATCAATGCGCCTATGTCGTGGACAAGATATTCCTTTCAGGAAAAAAGCAAAACGAAATACGCATCAAAATGTGACTCGCGACTAGTCTTTCAAACTATCTACATGAGCTGTTGCAACTATCTCATTGCACATCACCGCGTCGACATCTCAGCCCTTCAGCCTTTTTTAATTGTTGCTAGACTGGAAAAGAGCGTGTGGATAAGGATGGTCAGACATTTGCTGTCTCTCGCATTGTTCTTATGCATTTTAATGATAAACTATACAGTGTAGACTTGAGCAGAGTCGAATGTATGCCGTTTAACTTAATAAAATTTGTTGGAAATATAATGATGTAGCTTGCTCCGCCCTTTACTCACTGTATGAAGATAGGCTTGGAACCAGGGTCAACCCTACGTTGTTACGAGTAACAACGGGGGGTCGTACCTGGTTGAGTTTGTAGGAGGGGGGTCGTACCCACTTTAGTCGCTCGAAATCACGTGTGGGATTGAGGAGAAACTAAGATTTCGTGGGTAGTAGGTTGTGCGAGTAGAGGGCGCGCAAGATAAAAATTTGCCGTTTCAGCCGGCGTATATACCCCCCTAGAAAAGGAAACAGTGAGATTATAGGGAGAAATTGGGCAAATTGGTGGAAAATTTAGGGAATTGTGGGAAATTATGGGAAAATTTTTACTTCAGAGGGACTATATACCCCCCCCGCTCGACGGCATTTTTGGAGGAAAAAGTGGGCGGAGTTTTGAGGGTTGAGTGGTAGTGGAAGTTAGTGTTATAGAGAGGAATATGGTGGATCGAGGTGTCGGAAGGGGGGTCGTACCAAATCCACCTTGGGGGAGGGGGGTCGTAAAAAATTTTTCGAATAGTAACAACGATAGGGTTGACCCTGGCCGAACTCCATAGTGTCAGTTCGCCTCCTTCGCTCCATTCCTCAATATCTACTTGTGTATGCTGAATATTATTGGCAATATCAAGAAGTGTCGCCTACAAACTGAACCATCGACACTTTATATCTTCGTTCACAGAGAGTCGTTTTGCCACATTGGAAGCTAGCTTTCAGAGATCAGCGTTTGAGATGACATCTAGGTGTAGGCGCATCGCTTATGTAATGGCCATGATGACTCAACATTCTTTACTTGTAAATTTCGGGATGAGTATACTGTTGGAGTGGACGGGCCTACTAATTTGGTACCTGGAGAACTATACATCACTGTGACCTGTAGTGTCGGCGAGCCTTTGCTCCCCACATCTAGACTCATCACTTCCACCTTTCCCTTTCGTAACACCTTCGGTTTTCAACTTATTTTCTTTTTTGTCTTTCAGTTTTATGAGCTGTTGGTGCTACGATAGGTTATTGATTCGTTCATGTTTACTGACCCACCTGCTAATATGTAAATCGTAACAACATTTGAAGCGGCCACACGGTAGTGCAGTGGTAGGAGCCCCTGTATAACTAATAAACACAAACGAAATTGTAATAGAATAAAATTATATGACACAAACAGCAGGCTCGTTTTACCTTTCAAATCATACTAACCATAGAATGATTGGCATTTGAGGCTCTTCAGTGATTTAGTGCCGATCTTTTATTAGTGGGTAACTAGTCTGAGTAGAACAAAAGATAAGAGTAGAATAATAAAGAGCAAGAAATGAGTGAATTCTAGGCCAGATGAAATAAAGAGCATGCATCGACGACCTTAAAAACAGTCCCAGTATGTGTTACTAATCGAGATTACAGCAAGGCAAGGATTGTTGGCAGAAAAAATAAATTAATGGTAATGTAATGGAACAACAAAGTGTCGAAGTAGTTAGCTAGATTATCGACCTAACCACATAGTATCTAAATCTCCTACTATATATAATCGGCTAAGCGGTTGTGTGTGTGTCTGACCGGAAATTCATAACTTCGGTCCCTTTGGTCCCAGAGCGCTCAAACTTCTAGGTATATGGGGGCTGGACACGAACACTGATGGGGAGTGCGGGAAGTGATAACTACTGATAGGAGCTGATAACGGACGTCGAAATGTTGATATCACCAATTTCGCTACGCCGTTCGCGTTGACAGTGGAGAGTTTCCACTCATAAGTGTAATGTGCTGTGTGACGGGGACCCGAATAGAGAGCGAAGAATGGTGATAGCAAGTGATAAGAGAGATGACAACGTGCGCCGGAATGCAAAGGCCACCAGTTTTGTTGCTCTCCTCGCATTGGCAGTAACATGTTTGAACCCATTCATATATTATGTGGGGTGAGGCGGGGACCATGAAGGTGGGTGAAGGAAAGTGGTGGCAAGCGATAAGAACTGATAAGGGGCGTCAGAGTGTGATACCACCAATTTCGTCGCGGCCTTCGCAGTGACATTAGATTTTTGGCTCTTACATATGGTACGGAGAATCTTACGGGAACACGAATGATGAGTGATCAAAAGTGATAACAATCGATAACGGCTGATAACGAAGTCCAGAATTTGAGTACTATCAAATTCGTTGTAGTCTTCGTGGTGACAGTAAAACCTTCGCTTCTACATGTTTCATAGGGGGTTGGACGGGGACAACGGTGCTATCGGTATGAACGGTAACAAATGACAAGGAATGATAAGGGGCGTCTGAATGCAAACACTACAACTTTGTTGCAATTAACACTGCCAAGCGATCATAGCGGCAAGGCTAAGCCAGGTTCTTAGCACGTGAATATGCTTCATTTCTATCCTTTCACCAAAGTGGTGCAAATAGTGCAAAGAAAGTTGACGCTCAGCTATCTGGACCAGGGCCAATAGCGAATTGCCGATGGCTTTAGGCGAAATTTACAACCTTTGCACTTTATCAGGAGCATTTTTCAAAGCAGCTCAATAATATTTCTTCAGCCATGTGACCTGACATTTTACAGGTTGTCCAGTTTCACTGAAGCTCGCCCATATGATGCGCGCGGATGCGTGCGGAGCTACACTGGTTGTGTACAAGTTATGGAAGTTATGAAGGTATTAAAAGGAATCTTGCGCGGAAAATTCTTGCACTCTTTCCTAACATGAATATGTCAGTTGTGATCACTGGAAATAGCACACAAAGTTTCACGCATGAAGATTCGGTTTCTGAAGAGAAACAAACGTACAAAAACTACACGTTATGGACCATCGAAGGACCAGGAGGCAGAGCCAGGCGAGGCATGGAAAGAAGACGGCGTTTGGCCGGCTACGTACCAGGCGACGCAATGAGAGAATCGGGTTAAAGCGCGCGATTTCGGAGAGTGGAGACAAATCGATCGATGGAATAGGATGGAGTAGAAGTGTAAGATGTGAATGCAACGAAGCAGAAGGCCAGAAAGAGCTTCTAGTGAATGCACTCCAAGAACCAAGTTTGAGCATCCCCGTCGCCAGCATTCGTGAAAGACGTCCGTGGGCAATTCGAACGCGTAGCAGCCTTTTCGAGTTTTCGAATTTCTAATCAAAACGAAAGCAATACTTCAGTTCTTTTCACTATTATCGTGGATAATGAGTCTCAAGCCAGTGATTTATGGCTGAAATAGAATCATGATTTTTCCGCGCAAGATTCCTTTAATGTAACTTATAAGAAAACTTACAAGCTACATGCTTATTCCTGTGAACGCATTTAACCAAAATGGCTATTATGATCTCTGAAGAATACCCATTGCTAATCAAGTTGATTGCTAAGTTTATCCCTAAAAAAGTCTAATGTGGAACAAATATTAGCTATTCTAAGTGTTTCTGTATACATTCTACAGCCTTATTGTTAGTGGATATAGTGGAATCTTTATGCGGAAACCTAATAACCTTAAAGTTGAAGTCAAGGTACTGCACTGCCCAATATAACGTCTAAGCAGGTGCCATCACCGCGTTTGCTGTCGCGATTATGCATTAGCAACAGCAAACACAGAGTCTCACACCTACCTGAAAGCTGGGTTATGGCGACAAATGCCGGCAGTGGTGCAGGGCGTAGTAATACTGTTCAAAAATTTGGATTTGGGGTTCTAGCGTAGGCTGAGGCGAACAGTTGTGCTAACGTCCCATTCTTGCGAAGATTAATATTTTTGTCAGTTGATTATCTTTCAAAAAAATTGAGAACGAAAGTGGACTCGTTCAGCCCCAGGTTCGAAACGCTCTACTAAATTTTTCTTTGTCAATAGTGTTCAAGCTATAGTGGAGGTTTATTCGTGTTCGTAAAAAACAACTGTACAAAAACATCGATTACCAAGGGATTACAACTATACAAAACCCGTCTAAGAAATGACGTTGTGACGTGGATCGCGGCAGTTTAGGAATAACAACAAATTATGTCTTGGCATCGTTGAGATTCTTCGCAAGACTACTTGAACGCGACATGCTTGTGGTAGACAACTTCTTTCGCACTGATGCTCCGTCTCGAGCTGACAACGAGGACATGGATGTTTCACGTGAAAGCTGAAATCAGCACTGCATCAGACAAACTAAAGGCATATGTACTACATGACATATAATTGAGCAGTCGAGTGTTCGATGTACAACACCCATTGGGCGCTAGCACCGATAATCTCTTTATCGCTTTGAGCAAAATCCCAAATGGAGCTCCTCCAGTGTGTTGGAAATCTTCCGTCTACTTAATTGTCTCATTTTTTATCTAATTCAAATGGTCCTGGTCGCAAGCCACATAGGTGCTTACTTCCCCTAACATACTGTCAAAATTATTTTTATTATACATTGACGCGAAGGTGCGAGAAGTGCCATTTGCCGCCACTCCTACCGCTCACGATCTCCGGCTCGAATCATGTATTGGATCTCGCCCAGACCAACTAAATCTTCATCCCTGCGGGATCGGTCACTAGCTGTCAGAACGCTGTTTAGGATGATAAAAGCACTGACTTATATATCGGCCGATCTCAGTGACTCTCTCTTGTTCACTACCCTTTCCTAGAATATGAGTCGGCACTACTGGGGCCTACTGCACTTGTTCGCTTGTAGTTTGAAGGTGCTACCTAATTTATTGAACCGATTTACTAGTGAACGGTTCCCTAGAGACAGTATGTACACACCATTATCTAGAATACATACCACTAGCCTGACTGACTATGAGGGATTCACTTCAGCCAGCTTCTCAGACAACCCTATAACGGCCGTCGAGGAACACATTGCGCTCGAATCTTGCCCCATGTTCCCGTGACAGATTCGTTTGATATCGCCCGTGTAAGGCGACCAAAAGGTTTTTTCATTGCTCCCTCCTGTCAATGGTCATACTATCAGTTGAGAGCTCCGTCATATTAATTTACGTGAAAAAGAAATAATTATATCGAGGCAGAATTTGATTGATGGATTCGATGTATCACTCACCTGACTAAAAGATCCACCGGTAGTCCTTGACCTTTTATCAGTCGAGAAGGAGTACACGGAATTTTTGGACGATGGCGCTGCCCATAGCTGAAGGAATGCAAAAGGTGAATAAATGGCTTGGAATAGAGTTTGTGATGTCATGCTCCATAGCAATCACCTGTCTCTCAGCTGATCCCCACCACGTGAACACAAACACGGGAAGAGCCGCTACAAGCGCCGAGACACGAAACACCATCGACCACTCCGATGCGGCACCTTCGTGACAACGATTGATGAAAAAGATATCAGAAGAGATACACGATCCAATGCATAGAACTCCCCTTGACCAGGGTAGTAATTCAACTTCCCATGGAACTTGGAGTTGAGGCCTAGATGTGTGTATAGAGCTTCGAACGCTGATTACAAGATTATGGAACTTTTTAACTGCAAAGCGAACAACCACTGGCAGAGGCTCTTTATGAGCGGTCCAATGTCACATAATGGCTCAGAGTGCTGTGCTGGGCTTTCGAGTCGCACCATGAAGTTTGTGTGGTGCCCCTCGAAATTTGTGCCTCAACGGGATGAGAAATTATTAACTTTGAGCTGGGACGGAAGTACTACCACTGCTCCGCGGCGACTCTGACTGCCCGCACGCTAGCACGGTCCATATGTAATGCCTTCCTTCCAGCCAACTTTTACTGTTCACAACCTCCTTGGCCGGTTTGTTTGTCCAGTTTCCATATTTGTAATCAGCGTTTGAGGCCCTATAGATTGACTGGGTCGTAATGTTCCCCGGGAAATTGAATGCATTCCCTGCTGAGTAGAACTCTCATTTCACACCAACTGATGAGGAAGGTTTACTGATACCACTGGCGAACTAAAAGTCCTACGCTTTAGTTGCATCAAATGTGCTTCGTGAGAATCTTGTTCCCAATGCTGAACCATGCGACTGCAAAGAACGACCATCCAGTAATGATACCCGAAAAAGGAGGTGCCAATTGCACCAATGCAGTTATTACACCAGGCGTGTGCATTCCTGAAATCAGTTTGCTGTTCAGATATGCACAGCGAAGTCTGTTATCTATTAAATTGTCCTATAAGTGATGCCGCATTTTTCAGACGGAAAATTTCATGCTAAAATCCAAATTGCTTACATCATAACCAGTCAAAAGAAAATTTTTCTGCTCTACAAAATGTCGTGTTTTTCTTCCTTACTCGTTGCGTTTTGGGATTTCAAGTCTGCAAATTAGAAGGTCCAGTCGAGAATAATTAGGCAACCGACAACTGGCTCTAACTCTATTTTACCCTAGGAACCGCTAGAAGAAATCGACCAGTGATATGACTTCTACTCAGTCACGATGTCTTCTAAACATTCCGACATTCGAAAACTTGGAGTTCTTTTCAAATTTAGTTTTTTCGCCAGATTTCGGTAGATGGTCACTACAGCGTCAAATCTTCACCTAAAAATTTTTGAAGCCAGGGCGTTAAAAAACGTGAGATGTTAAGAACAATCCAGTCTATAATGTATGTATGACTGAATCACTTTCTTGGGAAAATTTTTTCCTATATTTTTGCTCATTATCATCGGTCAGTGGACACTTTACGGTCCTCTCACCTTATGGCCTCAAACTCGACTCAGTTCTTTGTGAAAACTCATACAAAACAAATGATCGAATAGAGAAGAGAAGCTCACGAGGGACATACCAGTTGATTCTAAAATAATGGGGAATAGAGAAAAAGTTTCAGTTCAAGAACGGCTATGGCTTGGCGTCCACTAGAAAAACAAAATCAGAAAAGAAACACAACAACAGACAGAAAACCCAATAGCGGAGTGTTCAGAAGAGATCGTGACTATCGAAATTAGTGAGTTGCATCGTTAATCGAATCCTGCTAGGAGAAAATAGAGTTAGAGCTAGTTTTTGATATGGCTGATTTTCACCGTCTGAACCTCCTATTTCCCAGACCTACAATTCAATGCGTTCGCAAGGAACGTCGAAAAGAAACCTGCTATTTTGCCGAGCAAACAAATTACTTCCGAATGGTGCATGACCTGATGTAAGAACATGGAATTTTAGCAGAAAACTTCCTCAGAAAACGCTGTTGTAATATAAATGAGAGAAAATATGGCATGTGGCAGCTTCTGTAGTTTTTATGTAACATTTATTCAAATTTGGCACAGATACATATATAATAGTTAGATCAGACCACTCTCGAATGGAGG